CCACCAAAACTGAACGTGCCAAATGAAAAATATATAACTCAAATAACAGTTTAGAAAAGCCTCATGCATCATGAAAAGCATTATGCAACTACAGTGGCGGATCCAGGGGGGGGGGCAAAATGGGCATTTGCCCCCCCCCCCCACGGCATAATTTTAGCATGACGCCTATGGACGAGGCATGGAAAGAATCGATAAATTTTTATGGTTTGCCCCCCCCCCCAAAAAAAAAAAACTGTGAGCTGGACCCGCCTCTGTGCAACTATCGACTGAAAAGTTGCATGCTATGAATACGTCCTAGATTTCAATTATCATTGTTCAACATTTTGGCTGGAACTGACGCTGCCTCTGGCTTGCCCGTTTGTTTGAGATGATGATTCCCTTCAGTCGCGTTCTTGCCGGTTCCACATGAACAGGATACCACCATACCGGAGTGAACGCACCCGCAACCATCATCCCCTCCCCTCAGCCTCGGCGCAGTGGCGGGCGGCCCTGGGCGGCCCACTCCCGGCGCTACGCACGCCCCATGCGCCGTGATACCGCGTCACTCCCCCTCCCTCCTTCCCCCACAATGACCGGTGACCTCACTTCCCTCGGGATTTGGACTCGCCCTACCCCGACCGTAGCGCCACGTGGTGGCTCTGGAGATCTTAAATAGACCCACTGTACGGTAGCAGAGGTGCAGTTTAGTGAGAGGTACACTACTCAAAAGTGCTGCTGATTCATGCTTGCAGTTTGATTGCAGTGATCAACTTTTCAAGACTTTGGTATACACAACATGGCGGAAACTACCACAATATTGTATTCAAACAAAGAAAACAGTACAAACATGCACCTCAAATAGGTATACAAACTAGGGTTACCCGCGTGCTCCGCAACGCGAAGGGGGGATTTTTTGACCCGTGGGTATTGGGTTGGTCTGTGTCGGTTTGGTTGGTAGATATCCATTTCGTTCGATTGCTTTTTGACGGCCAAGCATTTTGTAAGAAAACAAAAAGATACATCGCATCGAGGTGCCCGTGTCGTATTATCATGCGTTCTACTTTAGAATGATTCGAAAACTGGCGTGAAGTCTTTTGAGGGCCATCGATGAATTTCGCTAAAAATGACGATGCAATGGTTTGGAAAATTTACGTTTTTTAGAATACTGTTGCTCATCATGCAAAAATGAAGACTTAACCTTGGTCAGAATTGAATGCTCTTTCCAACGGTGCCATTTTTGATTGCCAGATACATCAGATCATGGAGCAAAGCCATTTTGATGAACAAAGTGACACAAAATTGACAAACACCATTTTCTCCCGTGATTTGTACCACCTTGATTTGGATCAATCAGCTTTTCACAATTTTTATATGATAGGCGGTACATTTCTCTTGCCAACAGACGTTGTTCCAACTCGCCCTGTTTAACGGTCACCTAAAAATAAAATCAATTCCAAAATCCGCCAAAAACCGCAATTTTTCAACAAAAGTGCCCTCCCCGGTGCACGTGGCGCGTGCTATCCTCTGTATCGCACACGATTCCATTGCTCATTCAATTATCTACACGATGCTGTTTTCCCCGTGCCGGTCGGACCCCTGGTCACCAAGATATTGCACGGGAACTGGACCCGTGTCGGCCAAAATTAGCCGTTTTCGCCCGATTTCGCACGCCGATTTATACATGTAAAGTCTATGACGCGAATTTGCACTTTTTGAGCACGCACCACGCGCTCCCTATCAATCCGATCAAGCTGAGACCCCTCAAAGGCACGTCGCGCATCCTTGATCTATAAGTTGTGCAAATTTCACCGGGATAGGTGCAACGGTCTGGCCTGTAGTCCACGCAAAGCACCACCAAGTCGGGACCTCGGTAACGGACAGACGCACCCTCCTCAAATAGTAATATAGACAAGCGGCTGCGCCACTTGCTTTGCTGCGTGGTAGGAGAAAATTGCGGCACCAGCCAATTTGCTTTCGAATGGTGTTCGTTTCAAATCGATATGTTGGCTAGAAGCATATGTAGATATGGACGGAAATGTGAAGAGAAAAAAGAGCTGTTCTGGGGGCTTTGTTGGATGAAATTTCGCTGATACGGGGTCAAGATGGGCCAAAGGGGTCAGCCCCGGTCACTTTAGGTCAGGCCAGGTCACATAGGTCGCCTCTCGTCCGATCGGATCAGCCCTGGCCACTGTTCTACTTTTGCCTCCACCACTACCCCTACCCCTACCCCTACCACTACTCCTACCTCTACCACTACCCCTACCACTACCCCTACCACTACCCCTACTACTACCCCTACCCCTACCCCTACCACTACATCTACCACTACCACTACCACTACCCCTACCACTACCCCTACTACTACCCCTACTACTACCCCTACCCCTACCCCTACCACTACCCCTACCCCTACCCCTACCCCTACCCCTACCCCCCTACCAACACCGCCGGGTCATGTCAGGTCACAGAATAATTGGATCCAATCAGTACTTAAATATCAGACTTAAAGTGTTCCCAGCCCTGCCCCTATTCGTGCCATTCCATTACGCTTAATCGTATTTGTCGGAAATGGCGCTTTGTGGCATATGTGGCGCATTGCGACAAACGCGGCGCATCTGAACCTGTTGGCTGAGCATGTATCCTGGCAACAAATTGTACCCTTATCGGACCATATTTGACAAAACTGTGCGATTTGCGGCAAAAATGACGCCTTGTCACCAATGTGACGCATTGCGGCAAACACGGTGCATTTTTATACTTGGTCACCTTTCACGGTGCATTTTTATAATCTATACATTATCTCGCCACTTTTCATTCAAATTAAAAACTTGCCCATCCGCCAATGCGAGGCACCCGCCACCGATCGGCATGCATTTAGTCCACAAAGTTTGTCGACCCCGGCTCTCAATGAAGATCTACGAACCGATCAAAATTTCATTGGCGTTCTTCCAGCGCGCCCCACGCGCGAACCGTGCACCCCAGCGAGCCGAAACCTAGAAAAGGCGCTGACCCGCTCTGTCACCTATAAGGTGTGCAACTTTCAACTTCCTACGACATACCGTCTGCCTTGTAGGCGAGGTTAATTGAACCCACTACACGATGTGCGGACACACAGACTCACAGACTCACAGACGGATTCTGTTGGAATAGTAAGTTAGATATGCACAGATAACTACAGCTAAGGCTGAGCTAGACACGATAAGTCAGGACACTGAGTAACACCGCGCATGAGGTATGGAGCCAGGTCTGGGTCCGCCAGGGGGTCGCGGCTCAGATCGACATCTTGTAGCACAAAACTTGCCCTCATTTCCTCATATATCTTTCTATACATTATAAGGCGAGTAGAGATTGAGCTGATGGATTTTGAGGGTGATGATGGTATGTCTTGGTGTCCGGCAAAAGAGTGGGATGCTGATGGTGTGTCGTAGTCGTGGGTTTCAAGCGCTGGGGATGGTGGTGCTGTTGGGTTGGATTGAGCTGGTGATCGTGGCTGAGGGAGGGTGTGAGAGAAGTGGGCCTGAGTGTTACGGGTGTCATGATAAGTCTGTTGTTTCGGTGTATGATGTGGAGCTGCACGTGGTGGTGAGGTTTGGTTGGCGGGGCTCATGGAGGAGGAATGATCAGCAGAGCCTCTTATTGCTACCGCGTTTCCGCGGATGACGGCAATAGAAATTTTTTGCCATAACCAGGCCGTCTCGCGCCTCTCGCCGGTTACTGTTGTGATCCTACGGCCGAGTTCCTGCACTAGGTTGATGGCACTGGGGCCAACAACGCCTGATGTTTCGACCGCCAATGGAACGAAAATGTACTGGGATGATAAGGAGGCGTACCGCTGCACCTTTCGATCCTCTGCGGCCCGGGCCGCTGATCCTGGTTTTATTGCCGATTTTGTCAGGCTGCTTTCAGCAAAAGTATCCGTGCATGTCGCGTCCCAGATCAGGCATTTTCCGCCTTTAAAAGGGAATGTGGTAAGCCCGTCAGGACGCTTGCCGTCACCTCTGTCAAGGCCAGTAGGCTCGAGGACGGACGGGATGCCAGATGCAGCGAGGCTGCGCTTCACCAAATCGTTCAGCTCGGCATGACGGGGGAATCGACCAGCACTTTTGCTGCAGGATAAGGCGTGATGACCCAACCTGTCAACCGGGCGGCTGCATAGGCGACAGGCATGAGGCTCACATATAGGGGCGCCAAGACGGAGAGCCACTGGGCGGAAATCGTTAGACATTCTGGCCCATATACGGCCAAGGCGAGTGCCTCCCCCTGGCTAAAATAGATACAGCGCTCGCGACAGCGATTATCGTGGAAACTTGTTTTGCGTCAAAGTCGACCGAGCATGACGTTGCTCAGATATCATTTTCAAGCGACCCGGGAAGCTACAAATTTTCCTTTCTACACAAGATGCTATATTAGGATGCAGCCAGCCGAAACTATGTAGTAAACGTTTCGGGTAGATACGTCTGGTAGTTCAGAGCATTATTGCAGAAAACGGGAGTGATATTGGGCTCTGTCCCTGGCCTCTCTGTCTGGTGTCTACCGCCCTCTTTTCCACTCTCTTCGCCTACCGCCTCCCTCTCCATCTCTCTACCTAGTGTGCCTACTAGTGATGTCAATTACGGAAAATCGGAATACCGATACCAAACCAAATACCAACCAAAACCACGGGAAAATACCGAAACCAAACCAACTGGGAAACAGAGGGAAATACCAACTTTTTATCGATTTCTTAGCCTCTTATACATTAGTGAGGGCTTATGATACCAACAAAATACCAAACTGTAATATAAAATATACGATTGAAATACCAAATACCAAGTTGGTATCGGTTTGGTATCGGTATACCAAAAAGCTGGTATCCGATTGACAAATCTAGCGCCTACCGCTCTCTGTATAGTAATTAGTATACACATCTCCGTTCTGGCTCCTTCCCCACAACTGTGTTTAATGTTTACCATCACCCTCTCCACTCATCTGCTCCCCCCCCCCTTCGCCGCCGGTTCCGCTGCTCACACTACCAGTCTCACCGTTTACCGGTATCTCCTGAACCGGAGGTGCCGCCGTCGTGTGACCGGTCACCCTTCGCTGTACCGCCGACCCCGGCTAGGTACTGCGGGTAGCTGCCGCGGTAGACGCCCCGCGGGCCCGAGAGGCCGCCGCTGCCCCTGCAGACGGGACGGGGTGGTCCAGGGCTAGATACGAAACAGTGCCATATTACAACACTCAGCCTGTCTGGATTTGGGTCGGAATATGAACCAGCTACCGAGTGGAAGCTTGATAATAACCCTCTTGTCAAAATGAACATGACGTCAATATGTTATGCAACTGATCAAAGTGCACACCAGTGCACGTAGGCCTACTGCTCTGATATTGTTCTTGAGAAGCATTTTTTTTGCAATCTGTCCGTCTATGCTGATTTAGACATACAGGGGCGCGGGAACTACGTTCAGACTGGGGGGGGGGGGGGCACACCATAATAGAGATCAACCTAGGGTAATTTCAAATTTAGTTTTCTCACCGGTTTTAGGCCACTTATTTTTCATCCCTTGGCTTTTTCAAAAAAAGAAAACATTTGCAAAAAGTGTGGTATTCCGTCTCAAAGCTGTGGGGGCATCGCCCCAACGGCCCCAGAGTTGAGGGGGCAAGCTGCCCCCACTGCCCCCCCCCCCGGCTCCCGCGCCTATGTAGACATAAGCTATGATTGTGATATGGGCAAGGACAGATAACAGTAGAACTACTACTGTTCTACTGTTATCTATGACAAGGATAATAGCGATATGCGATGGACAAAACAAGGGGCTGCGCACTGTACACTTGTCAGGGGCGGATCCAGAAAATCTCCAAGGGAGGGGCCATTAGAAACCAGGAGGCTCCCCCCCCCATAATCCCACCTGTTGGAGGCCCCATCCCCAGGCCCCCATGGGGGGGCCCACTTGTTGGGCCCCCCCAAAAAAAACTGCGTTTATTGAGCTTATCTAGCTGTTCAGGCAACATCTCAACATCTGTGCAGGCTTGGAAGTGGGTAGGTTAAAAAAAAACTCATCGGATTTCGGCCACTTTATTTTCAGGAGGCCCCCTTTTCAGCTTTTTAACTTTTTAACTTTTTATTTTATTTTTGAAAGAAAATCGGCCAAGGGGGGGGGGCCATGGCCCCCATGGCCCCCCCTTGTATCCGCGCCTGACACTTGTACACTGTATATACAGTGTATGTACCTTAAGTACCTATCCTGAAGACACACCGCTATGTTTGCTCAATGACGAGACCGATCTTACGCCTTTGCGACTAATGATGCATTCACACATTTAACCGCGATGGATTTGCGAGTTCAACTTTCGACGAGTTTGCGGAAAGTTGTGGAGTTGGAAATGAGGTGGCAATGATTACTGGCAGCGGCTCAGTATAACAGAGACATCAGAGCTACGAACTACCCAGAACGACGACATCAATCAGGACCTACAAATGTAAGCCATTACTTGCTATCAAAGTAACATATTTCATTATTTGTGGTGCCGCCGACCAAAGTTTTGTACGGACCGGGACGGCCGGCTAGGCTGGTCTGCACAGGACGTTCTGACAATGATTTAAAGGAACAACATTTCAAAACCATTAGATAAAGGCTTTGAACTTTGATGAAGGTGATGTAGTGAAAGCAAATGTTTTTTTCATTGCTAAGTGCTTGCTGAATATACGGCATTTAAATCAATTAATTGTTTTGAATGACCTAACAAAAATAAATTTTTTACATTCATTTTTATTTTACCTATTTTTTGTGTGTATAAAATATACATGAATGAAAAAGCTTTAATTTGTTAGGTCATTCAAAACAATTAATTAAAAGAAGATGGCACCAATAAAAATTTATTCGTTTTGTCTTCATTTTTTTTTCACGTCTCAACAAAACAGTGAGTCCTATCACCTTGTCTACGGTCTACACGTAATTAAGTTCCACTGCTCCGCGAATTTTAAACTGCATTGCATTAATTTTACGGTACTTATCTCATAATGCTGTGTTGTTCATAATTATGAATAATAAAAGGGTTCATTATAATGAACCCTTTTACCTCGACACTTTATTACGTGTGTGGTCAATGATCCTTGTAAAAAACTGTTTCTTTTTAGACATTTCTAGCTTAAAGGGACTATCCCACCTTTAACATGGGGTTCGAGTTGAGATAGCCAAGTTTGCGGCGAGGTTCAGAAACCACTATCTATCTAGGTTGCAACCCCCGCGGCCTATTGGTGTTGAAGAAATTCGTTCCCTTCATTTGAAAATGGGCCTTGTACAAGGCCCTATCTTCAACATGGAGCGACCGTTAGTGTGACGTCACCTCGTTTAGTCATTCTGATTTAAATGGGTTTGTTCGTTGAAAAATCGCTTAAAACTTGGTCTGAACTTTGTTGTGGTGCCTACAGAGTAAAAAGAATCAGCTTTATGACAGTAATGTGGCCTGGGGAAGGAGGTAATTTTGGGCTGTGACGTCACATATTTGAAAGTTTGTGTTTGGAATATGGGAAGCCTAAGATGTTAAATGAAAAATAAATGCCAGAACCGTGTTCCTGGTCATCCAATCTATAAAGTCGGGCACAATTTAACTGGTTTTAACAACATTTTAGAAGGTGGGATAGTCCCTTTAATGGCGTCGGCTTTTTGTTGCAAAATACACGGCTAGTAAGAGTCTAAAACATAGTTTTGTAACCACTTTCGCACACTGTATAACTATCGTTAAAATTAAATTGCATTGCAAGCAGCAAGTGATACTGGGCGACTCCCCAGCCCTCACCTTTTGCCGGCAGGCCCGCCGGCCGTGGAACGGCCGCCTCCTGAGCTGACCACCGCCTCTTTCCTCTCCACCAATCCGTCGTCCACACCGGACCCTGGGCTGCCGCGGGAGCTGCCGCCGCGCCCTCGGCTGGCGCTCACTGACGGAAAGTAGCCCTCGCGGCGCACCACCCCTCCTGGGACGGCGCGCACCACCACCGGGTACACCCTGGGACCGGCCGGAGTCGGAGCGGCCCGACCCGCCGCCGGCGTGGAGCTGGACGGGGACGAGCCTTTACCGCCGTCACCAGACGCTGGGGTCCCCCGGGACCTCCGGCGGCGACCCACGTAGAAGGGGATCTGTATGAACCGCCTCCTCACCACCACGGGTCGGCGCCGCTGCACGCGTCTGACCACCACAGTTCGCGTTCGAGCTCCAGCCGCACGGTTAGTGGGCTTGGCAGCAGCGTCCCTATCAGCAGCTCTCCGTCTGGCCACTGTGGGTTCACCGACCTTCCTCTTCCGCACCGGCGGTTTGGTGCTGACCCTTCTCCTACCGGAGGATCCACTGCCGCTCTGACCTGTGACTGGCCCTCGGTCGACGGCGCCACTGCCGGTGGTCCCGGGCCGGCGAGCCGCCCTGTCTTCTCCGTCCCCCTCTCGGCAATTGTGAGAGTCATCGACACCTCCGTCGGGCTCCGGAGCTCCTGTAGGTCATAAACGATACGCTAATTGCCTCCAGGATTAACTTCGCAGTTGGACAGTAACTGGCAGATGGCACTGGCGGAGTAAAACTATGCATTCTTTTTGTGCCACTTCCATGCAGCTTACTTTCAACGGGAAAAACACCCATTTCGTCCATATCATCGACGAAACTCACATGAAGTGATCCAATCATTAAAAAAATACAATTTCAATTCCAAACAAATGCGTGGCTACAAAATATTCACATTACAATCAACCTGTTACCTGTAATCTAGCCATATAACCAGCTGGCTATATTACTGGGCTCATACGTCATACGGCAGCAGCATAGGAATGACAGGAATATGGCGATGACGCCAGACTGAATTAGTTTCATCATAACACCGTAGAGCTGCCCGTATGCGCAAATGACGGTCTATGGGAATGGGCACAATATGAATCCGTAATCAGTATCGTGTGTTCAGTTTTTGTATGATGTTACATAGAACTAGTCTATCATAACATTCCCCCAACGTTTGAAACCTGAGACTGAGAGGGACGCAGTTAATAACGATGACGCAAACTATGGTGTCTGTTGCAATCCATAAGTCATGGATGCAGAACATATTTTATCACATACTTATCTTTCAATTCAGGGGATGCATAAATATGTTTAACATTTAAATATTTAGGAACAAAGGATTTAGGGCACAATGCAAATTACAGATACGGCCGCATAGTGAGTGCTGAAAACGGGCACACAAGAACAGCAATCATCGATAGCCAGTTGAGGCTTTACGCAGCATACATCAATTATTTCGTCAATAGATTAGCTGAAATAAGTTGGTCACATGGTCATGCACTGGAGCGCATTTCGGAGCAAAAAGCTCGGCGCGTTGCAGGGACCGTGAGGGCCATCGTACATACAAGTAAGTGGTAGTTAAATAAGTAGGTAGTTAAATATCTTTTCATCTACATCTCATTTGAACTATCATATTGATGAAGCACTCGCAGCGGCCAGCGCACTTACCTTGAACCGGTCGTATTCCTGTCCAATGTCAGGGCACTTTGGATTGGGTAATCATTGGGACTCTTACCGCTCTGTATGACAACTGGAATCTTTCCTTCTGTTCTCCGAACAATAACCGGAATACGTCTTCCATTCCTTATAACGAACGCAGGAACTCTTCTACGGCCTGTAACTGGAACCCTTCCGCCACTTCCCTGGACGACGACTGGAATCCTTTTTGCAGCGGTATGAACAGGAACACTGCCTCTATTTTGTCTGATCACAACAGTATTACGTCTCTCTGGGCCGCCTGTGACAGGAACATCTCCACCTCTCCCTGCAGCTGGTCTTCCACTTCCCTCGGCGTCCCCGAAGAAGGCAGGACGGCTGTCCCCAGCGGCTCTCCCCCGGCCGGTCTGGCTGCCCTCCGCCGCCGCAGGGGAGGGCCGAGGCGTCCTCCTGGGTGCCGGCGGCGGCGGGCTGCTACCGTAGTCTCTTTTGGGACGGTACGAGCCCCCGGGTCCACCTCCCTGCCTCGGAAAACCTGGAAATTAAAGGTAGCATTGTGAATTGACGTGGTATGACATGTTTGGAGCCCTCACTATCCATATTCCGTGTGTAAGGTCCCGCGGATCACATACCTACATCTACCGCGAACAGTAAAAATCCAAACCGAACATCAACGTCCAACATCATTCAACATGCCTGCGGCAGTGGAGAGGGACCCGAACCGGATAAGAGATGGGTTTGATTGCGAGTATCCCTCCTCCCGGTTCGATGGACTGGCTTTTTGCGTGAAATCGGAGCGGTCTGATTCCCTGGGGCGGTCGGGCGTCCGGTGACCGGGTCGGTCCGATTGGTGCGCAGCGCTCGGGGCTGTCTCGCCGGCGGCGGTGGCCGAGCCGGCCCGGGTCGGATTACTGCGCTCCGCAGCCGGCGCCGCGCTGGTGACCTGGGTCCGCCCGGGCACAGAGACAGAGTCGTGTATCGAGGCCGTTCATGTAACGACAATGACGTAGCGATATGTAGCGGTAAAGATTATCTTAGCTCGAGGGGACATCGATAGGTAAGACACTTCTGAGTTTTTTTTTTCGCCAGTATCTTTTCAGAGTTAGATATAAATATAACTCAGCTATGCCGTACTTTGCGGAATGTTGTGCTTTTGTTCTGAAATGCATTTCATTGCCACTTAAGCACCCAGACTTGCTCATGCATAATATACTAAGACAAATTGATAAGGGACGATCGAAAATCAAATCAAGCGAAATCCCCCCCCCCTGAGAAATGCAGGGTAGTTAGCTGTCGGCGGTCGGGTTGTTATCTGTGCGGTTGGGCAGCGTGAAGCTGCATCTCCCTGCATGGTGCCCGCCGCCTCCCCAATGTCGCCCTTTTAGTGGGATTAGGCCAGGAACCCCAGCCAGCCCACTCTCGTATCACAGTACAACACATCGCCTGGTTTCACGTGATTGGACGAGCACTGAGCAGTGGATTAGGTAGGTAGCGGCCAACAGGACTGGGTTCTACAAGATAGCGGAAATGTTTCGGGCATGTATTAGGTAAGATATCCTTCGCTGGTGTCGATCCATTTTCTAAAAATAATAGGTGCCGAGGTAAGGTACTGTATGGGACAATCGAAACCATTTGGCTATTTTGGTCTTCTACTGATGCATTCTTTAAAGAATAAAAAACTATATACAGAATCGTTAAGCTGGTGACCTGGGGCCGTATTCACGTCGACTTCGTAAGTCGATTTTCTTTCGTAAGTATAATTTGGTATTCAAGTCGACACTTCTTAAGTTTTTATCGACGGAGTTCACGTGAATAAAAAAATTTACTTAAGAAGTAGGTCAAACTTAAGAAAATTCTTATGAAAATGATCGACGTGAATACGGCCCCTGGGGACCTGATGGTGGCAAATTTAGGAAAGGACATGTCTAAGAAGTATGATCTATGATTCGCGTATCAAATCGCATTTATACAAAACATTCGTCAGCTTATGTTAGTACGCATGTTTGTACGCGTGCAATACGACACATGCAAGCATGCATGAATACACATACCTACCTATACCTGTTTACACTCCCACACCGCGCACAGTCAGCCGAGCACAAACGAGCTCCTCACCTGGAGGCAGCATCTCTGCATCACGGCTGCCACCGACTCCCCTGGAAGGAGGCAAAACCAAACACTCAACACTCAGTTATCATAGTCATATCAGCATTCTATGCACAAATGTTCATTCAACGTATTCAATTTTGATCCACCGGTGATCTCTGGACCTGAAGAGCTTCACTTTATTCACCCCTTTCTGGCTTACCGTACTGCAAAACGTCCTTTGATGAAAGTCATACTCGGCTAATGCTTCAGCAACTTTGGACTAACCCGCCTCCAAACCACAGCACCTGTCCCAGAGTACCATAGCTCGACACTTACCCGCCTCCGAGCCACAGCACCTGTCCCAGACAGGTGGTGATGAGAGAGCAGAGCAGAATAACCACACCCGGAGCTCGCACCATCACTGGACGTCTGAACCCCAGTGAACCAGTCCTGCGGTCGCGCCTGACTGAGCCGGTGAGTCCGGCTGAATCAGAGTATACTGGCCGAGTTCGGGTGACGCGCTGTCAGGTGTCGCGGCGCTGACCTTTCGGCGGACCGACGCGGTGTCAGCGGACGGTGCAGGGCCGGCCCAGAGTGGCTCGGCCTGTCAGTGACACAGACACGAGCAGCTCCGCCCGGCGGCGCTGTGAATTTATGACGCACACCGGTGTAATGCAGGAGCATTAAATTACCGGTCTTTGTGAGTCTGAAGGAAATGTTTTGAGGTCAAACAACAACTTTGGTATTGTCATTAGATTTCAGGCACGTCATCTGCTCTCTCAGGGTGATTGCTTTCAGTTGCAACCACTTTTGCACAATGCCGTGCGCCTTGTATTTCTTTGGAATACATATACCTATGACTGAAATACCTACAAGTGATGTGAGCTGTAGGTTTGTGAGCCTAAAGTTTCATCAATGACCTTAAATTGTTTCCTCTGGTATTATGATCCTCATTTTATTGGGCCGAATAGGCCCTTGCGATGCTTATTACCTCTCTATCCCCATCTTGCTCCATCTCATTTTCTTTCACCCATCACTGTAAAAAAAACTTACAAGCCCCTCGTAGAGGAATTCTCAGCGCAAAAATAACATTGCAGGAGCGTGTAAATTTGGCTAATTTTAGGCTAGTTGCCGAGTAACAAGCTTGTTCGACAAGGCTGTGCCTCGTATGCATACGACCACCGTGCTCCACCTAGTTTGACAACACGCACGTAAATAGCGTGGGTAGTGCGTCTACTAGGTGTCATAATAGCCCCTGCCTGGTAAGGTAACTAGCCACTGCCTACTAATCCATACCCAGTAATTGTACTAGCCCCCAAGGCTAGTAGTGGTACTAGCTCAAGGCCAGTAGTGGCACTAGTTAACTAGTACCACTACTGGCCCTCGGGGTCGGGGGCACTGGTCGACGGAATTCCGTCGACGGAATTCCGTCAACCCAGTGCCCCCGACTCTCGACCGCCACCCGCAAGTAAATAGACTGAGTAGCGCTGCAGCATATTTATTCGGACACGAGAACGAGAACGAGAACAATAACAACGCCAGGACAATAACTATAACTTTAACAGCAACAACAACAACAACAACAACAACTAACTGAATAATTTGCAATCAGGTTTCTTAAATAACCACAATCAAACATTTGTGATTTTCCATTAGCTCTGCACCGGCGGCAGTCGCGGGGTGAAGGTAGGCCAGGACATATGTACATGGCCCCATTCTTTACCAGAGAAGTCTGTAATAGGTGAAAAAAAAACAATATTAACATTATTATTATCATAAGGCATACCAATCTGGAAAATGATTAAATTAAAGTTGAATAAAGTGATATATTCCTGCCACAAGCTAGCGTAAGTCCCAAACGTATAGCTATTCTGACTTGGATAGACGATACCGGCGCACTTCTGCCAACGACGGGCAACATTATGCGATACATACATCTTCTAAGAAGCTGAACAACATAATAACTTTTGTTTACAAATGGACAACCTTTTTGTTGAGCACACAGCAAATGATACAAGATGCCTCACCTTCAATCAAGCCAAAGAGCAGTTGGGCAGACACACACAGCAATGGCGACGCAACACAAAATGGACGCCGGCTCCCGGATGCGGGGGGGGGGGACTCCTTCTGAAAGCAGCCACAGACTCCTAGGTTGTAACATGCGACGAGGATAGCTATGAGGCACATCCTCATAGCCATCCGAAGCCGCTTACCACGCAAGCTTACCAGCACGTTTACCAGCTGCAGGCGTTCGTGACAACAAGCGGGGTTGCACGCAAGGTTATCCGTTTAGTAGGTGCCAGCCGGGGCCTCGTCAGCTGAGCTAATAGCAAAATTACCTAATTGAGGGACACGCCAAAAACTGGCCGAGAACAAGCCAACGCCGGGTAACACTGTGAGGCTGTGCGTAGTTCATTAACATTGCGCAAAATTAGGTTCCTGAACATGCTCTCGCTCGTAGGCATTTGTTCCACAAAGGGCATTGTTAACGTGCATGGCTCTGACTACTAATGTCCATATATGTTGTAACGAGGTGCAAGGGAGGCACTCGTAAAAAATGCCTAATTTCAAAATTAGCTAGTGAATTTTTTTTACAGTGATTGACTCACTCACTCCCTCAATCACCGGTCACGGTAACCTGTGTATTTCACTCGTTCACTCGCCCACGCCTAACTTTATAAACTCGGAGGCTATATGAAGCGTCTCCCCTTCACTCAGTAGTGTGTCGGAGCATCCATACAAGCCGAGGTTGTGAATTGACCAGAACCTGACGGCGTGCGTGGGAGTCCTTGTGACTGCCAGTTCATATCATTGTCGTCCATTCTCTGAGTTCTCGGAACAGGGACGTCATCCGAGGACCCTGCGCAAACGTTTATATAACGGCACTTACCTACCCGTCACTCAGTCAGCGGTGCGCTGATACAATAAGACAGGTGTGGGGTGTATTTAATCAGATTAATAGGTTGAATATTGATGTAAATAACAAACCAATAAGTACAAATAAATGTATTTAAAAGCATGGATATCATTACCCAATCTACCAAAATAAGCAACAAAAGCTAAATAAGTCTTAACCCGCAAACCGACCCAACATAGAACCGACGGGGGGGGGGGTGGTTGACCGCCCCCCCCCTGAGATCTCGAGAACGAAGCAAGATAGAGACATGTGATAAACGGCATGGGGTATGCACGGACAAGGTCTACAATTTTTACTGAAGTCACTTTCAGGTCAGGTCAAAGATGACGTCACAGGGGTAAAAAAGTCACAATGGCGGCGCTAAATATGAGGAGAGTTTTTCTCAAATAACTTTCGAAGTAAGTAAGCTAGGAACAAACTAATGGCACCATCGTGATTCTCTCGTCAATCCGCATCGCAGCATATATCTATGTGTTGACCTCGAAAGGTCAAGGTCAAAGGTTGACCTAAGGTCACGTGACCTCAATGTCAACACGTATATCATTCGATGCGCCTTCACGAGCTGAACACGATGAGACCATCTACGCGGCTGCATCTTGTTCCTGTGAGGAGGTATAAGCACCTTTGGTGACCCTTGGTGACGTCATATGACGTTACAGTTGCCGAAGAGTAAAAAAGGCCTCAAGGTAATCAAGGTTGATCTATATACAATGTAATGTAAGTTCATTCGTGGTATATTGGGCCATTCCGACGCGTTTAGTGGAAAAACAGGTGGTTAATTTTCCTCCATTGACTTGGGAAGGTAAAAAAATTGACCTGACCTTAGGTCATCGATATCAAACTTCCGAGATATACAACTTGTAGTTACTAATTACTTCGTTACATCCTGCGACTTTCAAAGGCCTCCGTCATCTATTTTAGCTCTGACACGGTGACAAAGTTGCAAAAAGTGATTTGAGATTGGGTCATTCGAAGTGACCTGGTGACTTGACCTTGAAAGGTAGGAGGTTCAAACTTGCGCATCATGTATTAGATATTAATGAGGGAATATTCAGACCAAATTTCGTGAAAAAGCTCAGGGGGGGGGGGGGGCGGTCAACCGCCCCCTGTCGGTGCGCGGGTAAGGCTTTTTATTGGAATGATGTAGGTGAGATAAATCGGAGTCAGCATTCAGCTCTTCGTCTTTCTGGCTGACACCTATGTACGGCACTTACGCGCTCGCATGCGAGCAGCACAGTTTCTCTTCAACGTACTGTCACAGATCTCAACTCGTGACACCGCTTTGACTGCTGACGGTAGGAAAGGGTATCTTAAATTTAGTCACATACCTTCCCCAGCTCTTTTGTATAGAGCAGAGTGTGGGATTTGTTTAAGTTGGTGATTCCAAACTTTAAACTACAGACGCTATCTTGATTGCTAACTTTGAATTTGCCTGACTGTACCTACCTCGCTGTTAAATAGGTACGGTTCTCCAGGGTATTAGTCGTTGGTCGCTCGGCGAGCGGGAGGGCAACAAGTTCCGCCCCTGTATCGCGTGGCCCCTTGCTCCGCCCAGTTACGCACGAGCGTACTCCACGCCGCGTAGTAGCGTGGGGAGGGGAGGGTTAGAATGGTGGCATGTGTAGAGGCTAGAACCGGTTTCCACCGCCATGCCACCGCCCAGCGACATGGAGCGGGGTCGGTGACCAGGGCGCAGGGAAAGGTCAGAGGTCAGCTATAACGTAGAACTTTGTGTCTCTCTCCCCTCCGCGTGTAACGACCGCACGACAGCGGCCGGCCGCCGATCAGGCTAGACATGTCAAGGTCATCCGCAGTCAACGGGCTCGGAGGGTTGGTCGAGTGCGCGTCCGTGGCTGACGACAGTCTCGACCATGTGCTATGGTGCCGATAGACTAGCGTGGGTAATAAGTTTTTGTTCAGGCTGCTGGGGTGTGTCATCTTGATATGATGCTTTGTAACATGTATGATACGCAACCTCGCTGGCAGTGGCCGAGAGGAGGAGGGGGGGGGGAGGCGGGTGCCGCCTCCACATGTTTATTTTTGTTCTGCGAGAGCTGAAATTTGGCACGCCTGACCTTTGGTTCAAGCTGAATTTTTATGACAGCAGCTGTATTTTCACCCTCGCCCATATTGGTGTTTTGCCAGCGTCTATCGTAAAGAGGGGGAGGAGGGTCCGTTGGACCCCTTTGCCGTTTAGCCCCTAATCGAGCTAGAGCTTCGCGGAAAAAGAGCGTGTTGCCCGTGACGAGAGGAGGCCGATGATACCCAATTTTAACCCTCGCCGGCACAGGGGAGTTGATGCAACCCCCCTAAGGTTTTTCGCGAATAACTCGCGTAAAAAGCGGCCGATCGCGACGAAACTTTCAGTACCTTCGCATTGATCAATTTGACACCTACCCTGAAAATTTTTTGACCCTGACCCAAATGACCTTTGACCTGTGACCTCTTTTCCGAGACCATGTTTGGCCGGAATCGCGATTCGGCGTATGTCGGCTCGCATTAGCCGCGCGTTTGCAAGCTTTTCGTGGTTTCAAACGTTCAAACATGTGATTTGATGTTGCTCCCATACATTAGGGTGGGTTTCAAGG